CCAAACTTCCACTAGCTCCTGAGTATACAAAATAGAATAGGCTCCCTGTAGGTCTTAAACTTGTGACTTGCTCACAATACACAGTATACTGATCATCAGGTTTAATCAAGCACTGCATGTGGCTGTGGGGAGGCCATACTAACATATCAGATATTATTACTTGCCACTAACTTAAGTCCATCTGACACATCTTGTTGCTTATAGTCTGTAAATTTGTCATTTTAACTTTGTTATTAATATAAGTGAATCATATGTATAAGTGTATATAAGTGTGTTTATCATATACAGTATATTTGAATTTTGTAAGAACAAATACAGAATCATCCTTTATTGTAATGTTGCAGTGGCATCTATGATGAGACATGGTGCTAATAGTAAGAGAACAGAACCTCAGTTCAAATTTATTAGGTGTTGCTAGGCTAGAGACCTACCAGTGTAATACTTCTATAAGCTCAGGATTCATGAGCCTCTGTGGCATCCTTCTGTTGCCTTTAAGCAATTTAAATATTTTGCACAAAAAAAAATATTTGCCTTTAATAGCGACAGGGAATCAATAGTGCAGAAAATTCATAAGGCAAGTATTCAACACTTTCTCATTTGCCACCTTACCATGGCAAACCTAATAGGCATCAGAAATGCACTGGGAAATTAGAGACCTAACTACTAAAGATAATTCATATAGATTGTAACAGTGTGAAAATATTAGATCAATCACATTCCTCTTAATTGCAAAAGTGCATGCAGTCAGTTACCTGTAGGATTGCTAACTATATACAGTATAGGTTATGTGTAAAAAAGACAGAGACAGAACCAATTGTTGACTGGTTTGGCAAATAACCAAATTAATCATGAAAGTCTGCCAAGATATTCCTCATCTATATATTTATAAGATTGTATTATTTTTATGTGCAGCCCTTCAATTATTTTTTTTCTTTTACTAACAATTATTTAAATATAATCATTATTTAAGGCACAGAAAATGTATTCTTTGGGTGACACACAGTAAGATAAGGTGATATAAGTGAGGTAAGATGACATGCATCTTAATTTCTTTAATACAGCATGAGTATTTCATTCTTGCAAGCCTCGTTCTTGCTCTTGAATCTTGTTCTGTTATGTTTTCACACTACCGATTTTCAACATTTATGCCATGTTAGCTATTCTCTTTGGTCATTATCTGTGTTTTGACTGGTTATCTTAGTCATTAAACAACTAATGAGCTATTTAAATGTCTAAAGCAAAAGGAAAGACATCTGCATTTGACACCAATAAAATAAAGTCAAGCTTCTACTTCATTTTATAGCTAAGATGTCTCAGTAGTTACAGCACTTCAGCTAACTACATCCGTAGGCACATTAAAAGGCGAACTTCTCCTGGTGAAATGTCTTTCTTGAGGATGAGACTGAAGAATACCTGTTTCACTGAAAAGTGAAAGACGTGAACTCAACAGTTCTCATCTCCAGGAAGGCAAGTCTGCCTACAATAGGTCATTCAAAAACACTGTGACTAGAGAAACAGACAACACCCCAGGTCTATAAACATTTAATCAGAATTTTATAATATGGACCAAAAAAAATGAAACGCTTTTTTTAAAGGGATGTTGTTTGTTGTTCTCTACATGCTAATGTGCTATAAAACAAGATTAACACCTTCTCCGCACGATTTGAAGTTCATAACCCTGAACCAGCCACCTGGGCCACCTGGACCACTGACTTCACTGCCACCCCACCCCCCACACTATCCAAGCTAGATGTCTGGAAATCACTAAGTAGAGTTAACACACAAATAGCTACTTGACCTGATGGTATCCCTGGGCTGGTACTTAAAACATGTGCCTGGCAGATACAGTAGCTGATGTCTGTACTGACATCTTCAACCTGTCCTTGGCCCAGGTTACTGTACCTAGCTGCTTCAAGACAACCACCATCGTGCTAGTACCAATAAAATCAGCACCCACATGCCTAAACGACTATCCCCCTATTGCACTCACCCACATTATAATGAAATGCTTTGAAAACTACTTATTCCACACATCAAAGCCAGCATTCCTAAAACATCTATCGCACAAACCGCTCCACGGAGGATGCAATCTCTATAGGTTTACACACCACACTAACCCACTTGGATCAAAGGATCAAAGGAACAAGAATGCTGTTCATTGACTTTAGCTCAGCATTTAACACCATCATACCCATAAAACTTGCTACCAAACTCAGGGCTCTAGGTCCAGATACCACCCTCTGTAGCTGGATCCTAGACTTCCTCACCAGCAGACCCCAGACTGTCAGGATCGGCAACCTCACCTCCAATACACTCACCCTTAACACCGGTGCCCCTCAAGGCTGTGTGCTCAGCCCACTGCTTTACTCCCTGTTCACCCACGACTGTACTGACACGTTCAGCACAAACACCATCATCAAGTATGCTGATGATACCACACTCGTGGGCCTGATCACTGACAATGATGAGACTCCCTACAGGGAGGAGATAAAACAACTTGCAGACAGGTCCCGAACCAACAACCTATGTCTCAACATCAGCAAAACCAAAGAGCTGATCGTTGACTTCAGGAGACAAGGAAAAGTTCACTCCCCTATCTACATTGAAGGGTCTGCGGTGGAGATGGTGAATAACTTCAAATTCCTAGGTGTTCACATCTCTAAGGACCTCACATGGGCACTCAACACCTCCAGTCTCATCAAGAAGGCACAACAGCAGCTGTACTTCCTGAGAAGGCTGAAGAAAATACGTCTGCATCCACAGATCCTCACCAACTTCTACAGATAAACAGTACGATGGAGAGCATACAGACCAGCTGCATCACAGCCTGGTATGGCAAATGCACCGCATCCGACCGCAAGGCACTGCAGCGGGTGGTCAAAACTGCCCAGCACATCATCAGCAGTGCCTTACCATTCATCCAGGAAATCTACAACACCAGACATTTAAAAAAATGCCACTAATATTATGTCTGACCCCACTCACCACAGTCATAACTTGTTTGTCCTACCATATGGCAGAAGGTTGCAGATGCTCCAGTCGCACACAACTAGACTCCAAAATAGCTTCTTCCCCAGAGCCGTAAAGGTGGTGATGCCCCCACTCCCTCCCATCATATTATGATCTCTCCTCACTTCTTCCTGTACCTACAATGACTGTACTCCAACACCACTACATACAAGACAACTGAATGTAAACCGAAATTGTACTTACTGTACAACTGTACCAGTTGTAATATTTATTAATCACCGTATTATTTTTGCACTGTTCCCTGAATTATTTTTGCACTGTTTTGTCCTGTTGTATACCTTTCTCTGTTTGCGTATTTGCACATTTTTTATTACACTGTTAATTGTTATTGTGTTACTGTCTATTGTCTTATCTTCTGTTCTATTTATATACTGCACCTGAATGACTAATGAGAAACACTTTTCACTATACTATGCACCCGTGTAAGTATAATGACAAATAAAGTTGAATTGAATTGAATTGAATTCAAATCAGGTTCAGTGAGGGTTAGCATGTTATTCAAACATACTGTATAACAGAAAAAAACAGATCAAAACCTACAAGGTACTAGAAAAGCAAATCATCACAAAAACCTATAGTAGGAAAGTCTAATAAACAGTAGCTGATTCAAAAATATTTTAGTTCATTTTGCTTGATTTTTCTAATGGTTGTACAGTATCTGCCACAGACTGACTCTGAAGGGGCTTTTGCAAAAGTGTTTTATCTTTCCTATTACCATGCAGATATACACTATTGACTGTAGCTGTATATGAATAAAATGTGAATGGAATACGTCTTAGTGGCTTGGTATACATATAATGTGTTTGAAAGTAGATTACAGCTAAAACTGAGCATGAAAGACTCCGTGTCTCAATTTATAATGTAATATTTTTACACTATTTGTTCGTAGAACGTTTCAGTGTTATAGTTTCGTCGATTAGAGTGGTTTTGTTTTTTTATTGGGATAGTAGGTGCAAGCTTTGCCTTTGCGTAAAAAGGCAGGAGACAAATGGTCGAGTTCAGAGAGCAGGTTTCCCCAGCTGATGAGACTACAATGACTTAAGGCGTATTGCCCAGTCTTTCTCAATAAACCTTGAGATACCCAAGCGTGCTGATGCTGACTGAGAATGAAGAATTCATTATTCTGACCGCTTTATTGTGTAACATCTTGCTAAAAATGTGCATCGATATCAATAGTGTACCACTGCTGGTAATATCTATATACGGAAGGCTCTTAACTACAAAAACACGCAAATCAATACCATTTAAAGAGAATCCACTTTTTAAAAGAAAAAAGAGAAAATATTTGCTTTTTTCTAACAGATAACATTCTAAAACAAACACGAAAGCTGAATGTTCGTCTGCAATTAAGACAAAAATAGTCATAGACAACTTTCAGGATGATTGATTGAAATACAATAATATAATTTAAACTTGTATGACACCTTTGAATTAGAACAATGTTTTAAAAGTCTCATACTATACAATTTACTTTATCACTAGTCACACATGAAAACATTATTCGACATTAGACTGATAGGGTCAATAATAATTTCCAGATATGATGTATATTGCGCCTATATTTCAGTATTACCTGAAGAGAAAAAATAAAGTCTTTATACTTGTAAAAAAAAACGGTTGCACATTTACAATTACTTTTTAATAATATATGATTGTTTTCATACCAAGTTAATTCCTAAAAGGCTTATGTACCATTATGCTTCTATATGTGAACATATTTTAAAATTGTTATTAAATTCCTACATTTTCTAAGTGATTCCTGTTCCGATGTATAGTACAGCAAGCATGAACGAACAAGCAAGTGTCCCATTTTTACTGGTGTGTTCAACAGCCACAAAGAATTAAAGACCCACAAATGCGAAATTAAAGAAACCTGTCATGGAACTTACACATAGCTACAATGTATGTTCTTCCTCTTTCATTATGTCTTTTTATGTGATTATAAAGGAAGAGTTTAAATCTGCACTTACATGCCAGATTGCAAAGAAGATCAGTGCAGCGCAGAGAACCAGCGAAAGCATGTAGCAAAAGGCAGCGAAAGTAAACATCATTCCGAAAATAAAATCTCTCTATATAAATAAGACTTCAAAGACAGGAAAAGTAAGTCTATGGTTTTACATCCACCAAAATCAATTCTCGCATCCTTCCTGTATGTTTGCAACAAATGGTGGAATGACCACAACTGTTAATTCAAGTTTTTCCTTTCCGAGGCACGTATTTGAAGAGCTTTTTTTTCCTCAAAAGAAAATATTCACAATATAAAACCTTGCCATTTTATAAAATCTTCAGGCAATCTCCGCAGCCTTAAAAGGAGTTTCTGAAGAGAAAATATGTATAACGCAGGTTCCACAAGGCAAAATCCAGGTAATTAACTGCTGAAGGATAAAATAGTTTTAATTATCAATACATCCAAAAGGCAGTGGATGTAATAAAAACAAGCACACACATTCTTCTAAAAGAAAACAAAAGTAATGTCACTGAGGAATTTAAATCAAGAGCTCCCCATATCTACAGTAAGTAGACGGCATCACGTCTAATAAGCTTTTTCCTCAATCCACATTTTAACCCATCGCTCCTCAATAGAGAAGGCGCAGGCAGTGCTTGCCAACAGGTACATTTAAAGGGCCAGTTCATAAAATGCATTTAAAGAGACATAAAATGAGACACGTACACAAGCATAACACAAAAAGATGCATAGAACAATATTATATACAATACATATAATAACCAACATTTCCTAATTACAATATGGTCAGTTTCCACGATCGAAAATGGTCTTTATTTCAACAATTTATCACTTGAATGCCTAGTTTTGAAATGTTTAAAAAAACAGGACAATAACACTTACTGTATATCTCATCCGCTATCAACTGATTACTTAAAAAGGGAAGCATTGTAATACACCTTGAAGACATTTTCAACGATTTTCCCGATGATCCTAATGCTTCTCCAAGTCTCCTTGTTCGCCAGTGTTTGTGTGGCTGTGTTGAGGAAGAGGCCCAAGGGAAATCAAAATGTTCTGCTGATGATGAGTTGGGTAGCTGTGCGGTTCCAAATACACTTCTGCGGTCCCTCCTTAACTTCATAATTTAATTAATTTATTTATTATTACATGTTCATTAGGAGTTTTCTCACCTTTTTTCCTTAAGAAGCTCTTAATTTGCGATCAATTTACTATGAGCAGAGGTGGTGATGACAATCTACCAATCTATACCACAAAGAGGCTTTCTTTAGCGGTCCAAATGTTTTACATTGGAGATTACACAGCTGAATATGGGACCATCTGAAACATGGAAAAATGTACAAATGTCATATCCATTTCAGTATTCTCAGGAAACCCTCTGAAATGCGGTACAGATTTCCAGGAAATTGGATTGGATGCGACACCTGTCTGGGATGTTAGCAATTATAATCCTATATGACTTTTTAATATTGAAGAATAGAAATAGAAATATATTCCGATTTCTGTGCTTCCGAACTCAGCTGAAACAAAAAACAAAACACCCTGATAAATACAGTTGTAATACCAATTACAAATCCCATTCATTTTTTTAAGATCTGGAAACAACTTTCAACATATTCCTCACATAGAAAAATGAAAGCAATCAGACTATGCTTAAGAAGTCAACTGGAACCAGAATTGGAGGACACTGAGAACCATTCCCCTAACACCTCAAGAAAAAACAAAACTGGAATTTGTAGGAAATATATTTTATATGTATTTCTGCTCTTATAGTATGGGTAAGCTTATACAAACTCTTCAAACTATACCCTTGCTGTAGGGAAGTACTTATTTAATTAGGATTAATAACACTATTTACCAGACTTAACCTAAGATTACATGAAGCTGAGTACAGGCAATCTGGATTCTTATCTTTATGCTTTCCTTATGACAGAAGGCTTTATGAAGTGCAGCTGCAGCAGAGGATGAGAACTGTAGAATATTCTGATAGCTACAAGTTGAACTTGGATGTTGATTTCAAAGTGTGCTCTTTTAGGACTACTTATTATTGGCAACCCACTGAAGCTAAGCAGGTCTGAGCCTGGTCAGTACCTGGATGGGAGACCTCCTGGGAAAAACTAAGGTTGCTGCTGGAAGAGGTGTTAGTGGGGCCAGCAGGTGGCGCTCATCCTGCAGTCCATGTGGGTCCTAATGCCGCAGTATAGTGATGGGGACACTATACTGTAAACAGGCGCCGTCCTTCGGATGAGACGTAAACCCGAGGTCCTGACTCTCTGTGGTCATTAAAATTCCAGGGCGTTTATCGAAAAGAGTAGGGGTGTAACCCTGGCGTCCTGGCCAAAATTTCCCATTGGCCCTTACCAATCATGGCCTCCTAATTATCCCCATCTGTGAATTGGCTTCATTAATCTGCTCTCCTCCCCACTAATAGTTGATGTGTGCTGAGCGTTCTGGCGCACTATGGCTGCCGTCGCATCGTCCAGGTTGATGCTGCACATTGGTGGTGGTGGAGGGGAGTCCCCATTACCAGTAAAGCACTTTGAGTGGAGTGTCCAGAAAAGCGCTATATAAGTGTAAGCAATTATTATTATTATTATTATTATTAGGTCTCTGTAGGAAGGGCTAATGTCAAGCAGCTTGTGAATGTCCATAAACCTGTTTATTTTTTCTTAAGTGACTATATGGTGAATTATACATAATGTACAGTCATCCTTAAGCAACCAAATTTTGTTCTCAATGTATTTTAAATACTTTTTGTTCTCTATTATGCATTTATACTGTATGTCACATGAAAGCAGAACCCATTGTTGTTCTGAACATAAAAAAGGAAATATAAAAAATACAATGTTTATATAAAAAACTGTTCACTGTTAAAGTGCTATGATAAGCTAAGCTCTAGCTCAGGTAAAAAACTGATTCAATGCAGGATTGTGGGAGGAAAGTTGAGCATCCTGAGGAAACCCATGTGAACATGGGAAAATATACAAACTTCATGCAGATAAAACCACACAATTAAACCCAGGACCCCAGCGCCACCAATATTTTAAAATAATCTGTGGTTTTATAATATTAATTTATAATAATAATGCCGATAATGTGTTCCATAGTAACACTTATGGAAATAGTTTTTACTAATTATTATGTTTCATTATAAAAACGTTCAAACTTGCAACTAAGTTGTACAGCTATCGGAAATTACATGGTTCCAGGGTTGCAGATTTAAATACTGGGTTTATAGAGAAACAATTTGTACAATGTTTCTTACAATACACTTTTCCAACCATTCATATTTAAAAAACACAACTGACAATATGTTGTGACTGTGCATTAGAGAAAGCTTGTATCTTTAAGAACTATAGTTCTTAACTTTCTGAGTGCTTTGATCTCTGACATAATTCAATGAATGTATCATGTTCACAACATGATGCTGACCTAAAGCTGTGACACGGTCCTTGCTTGTGATATAGACTGTTCGACTTGTTTGTGATACTGCTTGTACTGTATTAACATTAATAACCAAACCCACACATATTTTCCTAAATGCTGTACAGTACATGACTCCTACTTTAACAAAAGTGAGTTGTATTACTACCTTATTACTTATTACTACTTAATTAATTTGCCAGTAGTACTTTCAGATAAATATTAAAATAAAGGCTAGACAAAGGACTGATGCACAGTGTTTTAACACACATTGTATAACTTTCGTAGGTTATAATCTAATCTGTGAAACATCAAAAACTCCCCACAAGGACTGGAGAATCTGATACGTTTTATATAAAGTATACAGTGACTACAGAATTAATGTAATTTCTACAGTACAGTACATTTCTACTGCACGTAACTGGATGCAAGGTAACTAAGGTGAATAACAGAAAGTTCTCCTGCAATAAAGTGTTATACCAGATGGAATTCTATTTTATTTTCTATCATTAAAGCATAATGAAAATGTGCTAGTGCCACATTTGATATATCAAGTCATGTGGAAAGCACAATGAATTTGAATAAGGTCTCTATTCCATCAGCACACCTAGAAAATTATAATACCATAAATACATGAAATATTAAAAAATATCATTTCATATTTCATATTTGTGGACCACATGTCAAGTAAAATATAATCTGAAGTTTATCTCTGAATTAATTTTACTGACAGTGCAACATGGACAGAATATTTAACTTGGAAGAGTATGCATCCTTCTTATGTACTGTCTTGGGGGATGTCTCATGTCATATACAAGCATGATAATCTAATAGTCCTAACTGCAGGTATACACTCAAAGCATGAAACATTTTCATTAAAAATAAATAATTGTAGACCTTACCAATACATTGTTAGAATATTTTTTCAATTAACAAAGTTATTAACATAATTTATACTCTCAGGCAATTTAAGTAGCTTTTTTTTGTTGGAATTTGTAACATCAGAAGATATAGGACTTTTTGTTAGTGTATGAATGCTGAAGCTATACAGTATGTTTGAGAAAATTACCCAATTAAAAGAATGCTTTTCAAATTCACATTGAAAAATATACCAAAACAAAAATAGAACTTTTATTGAGGCACTTTTATTGGAGTTATACAAGCTTTATATTTCCCTACATCTCTAATGTGCTCTAGCAGACACACAGACTGCCTTAGGCTTTTTAAGCACTTTGCTTACTATTGCTGACAAATACAGCTCATTACTTCTCAAATTACAATATTCTCACTGAAAACAGGTAAGCTTTGTGAATGATGAATGTTTTCAAAACCGATACTTGTGTACATTCTAGTTATAATTTAAGCTTAAATTCACTTTCTATGTGCATTTTCCCTCTACAGATAAACTGAAAAATTTAAATGTCGTAAATGTTTCGGGCTTTCCTGAATCAACCTTTTTTTAACGCCAACTGTTAATGCATTAGTGTGCTGGCTATGCCCTCTTGTGGATAAATTCCAATGAAGCGCTTGAGTTGGTGATACTGAAATCAAACAGCACATCTTGCTGCTATGAAGATGTTGCTATGTAGTGCTAATCTACAACATGAAACCCTGAATTTACATGAGACGTACTGTATGTCACTTCTCTTTAACAAAATTAGCCGTGTTTTTTAAATCTCTTAATATTCAATGACGGTCACCTCTGTGACATATTAAAATGGGTTATGTAACACAATGTATTTATAATCACTACATATTTATGAGTAGCATTCTAGTGATGTTTATCTTATTTTTTTAAACGGAAACACAAATTTCAAATTTTTCAAATGTCTAGCCATTACACTACAAAATATTAAGGTGCCAATACTAAATCCTACTTTTGCAAATTGTGAGAGGTGCAGCTTCTGGTTTCTTTGGATATTTATTGAGGTTTGATATCTTTAATTCTATGTTCAATACATATTTTTCACACACCATTTGTTTCTGTATACTGTATTAAAAATAATTTTAAGATGTTTTGATGCACACACAATACTGGTAATCAAGAATTACATAACAGTTATGTTGCGTATTGAATGTTAAAAGTATCTTAGCTGTATTGTGAAAAGACTTAGCTATGGGATCAAGAGCTGATCAGAGCATCAGTGCATACTTTATGTAACGAAAATTGTTCTCTCTGTAGATACCATAGTCCTTCATGCGTATATCTTTCAATGTTTTGTGTTGGTTTTAAAATAAAGTATTATATACATGTTATATTGCAATATAGATATAAACAGATTTTAAATGCAAAATAAAAATAATATTCGTTTTACAGTTTATGTTGAGGAACTCGAAAACGGAATCATTTGTTTCTATAGATTTTTTAACGTGACACAACAGAAACACTTCCGGCAAGATGGCTGCGTCCACGGAGATAACACATGGGAGCTCTGAGGAGAAATTTAATGGTATTATAATCATTAAAAGTTTTGTATGATAATATTTACACTTTTTATGTTGATGTAATCATTTTCAATATATAGGTACTGATTTTGTTTATCGTATTCTTTAGCCTTTGTCAAAACTTTCAAAGAAACATTCGTTTTGCCTGAGCTACTGTTTGCGTTCCTTTTTAGTTAGAATTAACAAATGACATAATTATTAAACGATTAGAGTGCTTGCATTAAATGATTTTTAAATTATTGAGATAATTTTGAAGTGATAAAATTAGCAACAAAAACAACATCTTTTAATGGATAATTAGGCGTTTCTACAGGTAACATAAAATGTAGTGTTATATACGTTGTTTACTTTTAATTATAAAAATCGAATTCGGAAATCAGCAATTGTTTTATTAGACTCCAGGATATATAAAAACGTGTGGCTTTGGTTATTCGTAAAAACAGATTGCAACATGTTTATTTCCCGGACAAACACTGCTTAAATTGGGACGTGATCTTTACGATACAGTGTTAATAAACGAGGGATCTTGTATTAAAATCACAAGATCATTTCGTATTCAATTAATGCAGAAAATATTATACTTTACAATTTTATTATGCTTTACCAAAAGCCTGCATTAGACAGCTTTTAACATGCTTTAGTTACAGTTTATTAGAAACGTATAGTTTTCCTGTCATCGTTTAACAAAAAACTATGGGTAGTCTTACAGCTAAACTAAGGCAAATTTCTTCCCAAGCGCTCCTATAGTTTCATAGTGTGGAGCTCACCATAAATCGTTGCTGTCACGCTCGGCAACAAAGGATTTTTTGTTGATGATACATTGAAAGTATCGTCTTTGTGCAGTGTCGCATGTGGCTCAAACAAAAGTAGAAAGTAGAAATATAAATGAATGCAATTACATCTCCTTAAAACCAGAACCCGCAGTACTTCTTGTCTGATTGTTTGATGTTTAAGTTTCTAGTTCCACAGATGGCAAGACTGTTTTTATTTTGTGTTATACTGTATTTGACTGTTCTCAAGGCTGTGAATATTATAGGTATTTTAAAGAGTCTAAATAGGCATTGGTTCTTGTAACTAGGAATCTTAAAATCAGGCTAAACGTGATTACCCTACTTGTCCACAAATGAGTAATGAATAGTTTTTAAATATTTAGTTTTTACAAGATTATTTCTAGAAATGGCTTCCTTCCTGCCCACCTGCTACATAGACGAGTATTGTGAAATGTTCTGGAAATTGCTGATTGATAGATGTTTTCTCCCATCTCATTCATTGAACTCTGTAGCTCTTTTAAAATTGTTAGTTGTTGTTTTCTCCTTACCTTGAAATAAGTGCCTGAGCTAGGCAGTATCAAGGTAGTACGATGCACTTTCAGTTTCATGATGATTAAGTAGGTTGTGCACATTCAGATGCAGCCATTCAAAATGGGTGGGGTATTTCGCGGTATACCACAGTGGGCATGTCGCATCAATACGCAGTATCACGCGGTATATCGCGTAATTTGACGTCATGCTGGAAAGTATCCGGAATCACCTTGTAAAACCGCCAGGAGGAGCCAATAAAGCTTAACCTCTCAT